TTTTTTTGTTTTCGCAGAATTCCACAGAGAAAATGCAAAATTGCATTTCTTTCGCAGAGCTCTTCTTTGTGTTGTACTCGACAACCGATCGTACGTCTTTTGAAGAGGCGTCACTTGTGGCTCGCTACATCTTACAGGACAAATCACTGACTTCCGGCGCCACTGTGATGATAGTGGCAACGAAATGTGACCTCGAACACTTGAGAGAAGTCGAAGAAAAGGAAGGAAGGCTCTTAGCTAAAGATTTAAACTGCGAATTTTATCAGGTGTCAAACTCTGAAGGTTATTTGGAGACCCAGGAGCTGCTCTATGAATCGCTTCAGCGATGCCTTAATAAGAACAAATCATCTCCCTTGACGAGGGTCAAGGAAGGACTCGTGGAAACTGCCAAGTCTTTCCGCAAGAGATCGTTTAACCACGAGGTTACAACGGCTGATCGTGAGAGGCCGAGATCGATGAGAAGCAGTTCATTTAGTGACGTTGATTCCATCCCGGAGTCTCCTAGGCAGCCTAGAGGAAAGTCTTCTAGTCAAGAGGATTTGGCTCAAGAGGAGAAAAACCACAGGAATTCAGTGGCGTCAACAGGTAGCTTTTGAAATTAATGACAACAATAATAGCGACGCCGAAGGGAAGAAGATATCATAAACGAAGCTAAAATTAGCGAATTAATAATGAAGAAAATTTGCGACGGCACAATTGTGAGAAATAATGCTAAATTGCTGATCACAACGCTTAAGTTGAGAAAGAACTGGACCGGAGTCATGTTTTACAAAATTAGAAGTACAAACTATATCTTTGTCTACTTTGATATTGTAAATTTATTATATTACCGCATCGCAAATATTATTTTATTTTCGTGTGTAGATGATAAAATTTATATAAATGTATTTACGACAGAAGCTTCCGTCTGGAAATAAAGTCTTTGATAATCTTCTTATAGTATGCTTGCGTACTTCTGTCTGCTTTAAAATAATTTCCCTTTTAGAGGCTGTAGTTTCTCTCTATATCAGGTTTAGATTGTCCTTGTTTAGGGTCTAGTCAGCCATGGTTTCTAATGTAAAACTGCGATATTTACAAGTCAGCGTTTTGCGTTTCGCCCTAGAATGTCATGCCCCGTTTCCTATACAGTGACTTGGTCCGTACACGAAGACCTTCCTTGAGCTTTTTTAGTCCTAATCCGTTTCTCTGCTTGTCTCTATCAGTGAATCTTGACTGCAAATGAGCCAGGATTGAATCTTGAAAAAGCTGTTGTGCTTCTGCGTATCCTTCCGCACTGGAAATCTCCCGATAGGCTGCTTGTAGTTTATTAGCAAGTATGATTCCCTCCTCTTCAGAAACTTCTCGGTATTCGCGTAAGTCTCGTTTTGTTCCGACCACAACGACACTATACTCTCCGCTGGTTTTTGTCGTCTTTATGAATTCTCCAAGTCGTTCAGCTTCCT